CGCGCCCCTCCCGTCGCCCATCCTTGTTGGGCCCCTGGGGGGTCGCTGGGCGGGGGCGGGGGCGCCCTTCGGGGATGCGGCCAGCGGGTTGCCCCTCGAGCCATCTGGGGCCCTCTGCAATGCCCCAGGGCTCTGGTCATCGTGGGTTGTGCTAGCCTATCGCGCACGGCCCGATGCGACTGACCCTCTGGGCAGGCCTCCGCGCGCTTGCCCCAAATCTGGGGCGTGGCCTGCCACCGTCCAGGCGCTGCCTGCACCTGAGGCGGCAGGCCGCGTCGTCCTTGTGTGGGTGGTCGAAGGCTTTGTTTTCTGGAGGAGGTGACCTGTTGTCTCGTCGTGCATTTTAGCTTTGGCCGTGCCCCCCCCCCCCGCCCGCGCCCCTCCCGTCGCCCTTCTCTGCTGGGCCCCTGGAGGGTCGTTGGGCGAGGGTGGGGCGCCCTTCGGGGTTGCGGCCTGCGGATTACCCTTCGAGCCCTCGTGAGCCCTCTGCAGTGCCCCAGGGCTCTGGACATCGTGGGTGCGGGGCCTTGGCCCAGGAGTGGCCGGGGCCCCGATCGTAGGTTTTGCTGTGAGGTCAGGCGAGCTTCGTTTGGCTAACCCCCTAAGGCCCATGAATGAATGAATGAGTGAAGGCGGAAGAGGATGATGAGGAGGAGGAGGAGGAAGTGGAGGGGGAGGAAGATGAGGCGGGGGCGGAGGCGGAGGGGGAGGAAGAGGCGGAGGAGGAGGATAAGGAAACGGCGGGGGAGGATGAGGCGGTGGACGCGGAGGAGGAGTGGGGGGAGGAGGAGGATGGGGGGGGATGATGGGGAGGAGGAGGAGGAGGAGGAGGAGGAGGAGGAGGTTCAGGCGGGGGATGCGGAGTAGGAGGAGGAAGAGGAGGAGGAGGCGGAGGAGGGGGATGAGGATGACGTTGTTGTTGATGATCATGAGGATGAGGATGATGATGATGATGACGATGATAGTGATAATGCTGATGATGATTGTGGTAATGAGGATGATGACGATGATGATGATGCTGATGATGATGATGATGATGGTGCTGATATGCTGATGATGATTATGCTTATGTTTATGCTGATGCTGCTGATGATGATGATGTTGATGCTGATGATGATGATGATGCTGATGCCGATGCTGATGATGAGGGTGAGGATGAGGATGAGGATGAGGAGGAAGAAGAGGAGGAGGAGGCAGGAGGGAGGAGACGGAGTGAGCGGATGAGGAGAAGGAGTAGGAGGAGGAGAAGGGGGGGGGCGAGGATGATGATGAGGATGACGAGGAGGAGGAGGATGAGGTTCAGGAGGAGGATGGGGAGGAGGAGGAGGATGAGGAAGAGGAGGAATAGGACGATGAGGGGGAGGAGGAGGCGGATCATGCGGAGGAGGAGGATGAGGAGGAGGAGGAGGTGGATGAAAAGGAGGAGTAGGAGGAGGACTGGGAGAGGGGCGGACAAACTAGCCAGGAGCTTCTTAGCCGTGCCTCCCTGCGGCAATCCACAGGGGGCGGCGGATCGAAGACGCCTGCGGCATGTCACCGCCGTCGCTTGTGCGCCTATGTGGCCAAACGTTATGCGGGAGCTAGGCGAAGCTATTGGACTATGGATTCCCCAGGCCGCTCTGGACACTCTCTGGGGAACACTTGGGGCAATGAGGATGAGGGGGAGGACTGGGGCGGAGGCGGAGGGGGAGGCGGAGGAGGAGTCGGAGGGGGAGGGGGCGGAGGAGGGGGAGGAGGAGGAGGAGGAGGAGGAGGAGGAGGAGGATGCGGAGGAGGAGGAGGAGGGGGGGGGAGGAGGAGGAGGGGGGGGGAGGAGGAGGAGGACGAGGAGGACGAGGGGGGCGAGGAGGACTACTACTAATAAGAAGAATAATAAGAAGAAGAGTAATAATACGAATAATAAGAAGAATAATCATAAGACGAGCACTAAGAAAACTAACATGAATACTGATAAGAAGACTAATAATTATACTCCGAATAATATGATTGATATTATGGCGACTATGAATATTAATAATAATAGTAAGACTAAGAATAATAATACTATTAAGAAAAAAAACGATTACGAATAATTATAAAAAGAATATGCGTAAGACTACGACGAATAATAAGAATACTAAGAAGATTAAGAATAGGAATAATGATACTACTAAGAAGAAACATACGAATACGAATAATAACATTAAGAATAAGAATAAGAGGCGGATGAGGAGGAGGAGGAGGGAGAGGAGGATGAGGTCGAGAAGGGGTGGGGTGGGGGGGGTGGGGTGGGGGGGGGGGTGGGGTGGGTGGGGTGGGGTGGTGGTGTGTGTGTGTGTGTGTTGTGTGTGTGTGATGTGTGGTGTGTGTGTGTGTGTGGTGTGTGTGTGTGTGTGGTGTGTGTGTGTGTGTGTGTGTGTGTGTTGTTGTGTGTGTGTGTGTGTGTGTGTGTGTGTGTGTGTGGTGTGTGTGTGTGTGTGTGTGTGTGTGTGTGTGTGCGTGTGGTGTGTTGTGTGTGTGGGAGGGGGGGGGGGGGGGGGGGGGGCGTAGGAGGGGGCGGGGGGGGCGGGGTGGAGGAGGAGGAGGAGGAGGAAGAGGAGCAGGAGAAGGAGGAGGAGGAGGGGGAGGGGGAGGAGGAGAGGAGGAGGAGGAGGAGGAGGAGGAGGAAGGGGAGGGGGAGGGGTGAGGGGAGGGGGAGGAGGAGGAGGAGGAGGAGGAGGAGGGAGGAGGAGGAGGAGGGGGGGTGGAGGGAGGAGGGGGGGGGGGAGGAGGAGGAGAGGGGGGTGGGGTGGGTGGGGGTGGGGGGGGGGGGGGGAAGGAGGGGGGAGGAGGAGGATGGGGAGCAGGGGGGGGATCCGGAGGAAGAGGAGGCGGAGGAGGAGGCGGAGAGGAGGAGGTGGAGGAGGAGGCGGAGGAGGCGGAGGAGGAGAGGAGGAGGAGGGAGGAGGAGGAGGAAGGGGGAGGAGGGGAGGAGGAGGAGGAGGAGGGAGGAGGGGAGGAGGAGGTAGGGGGAGGGGAGGGGGGAGGAGGAGGAGGAGGGGGAGGAGGAGGAGGAGGAGGAGGAGGAGGAGGGGGGGAGGGGGAGGGGGGGAGGGGAGGGGGAGAAGGAGGAGGAGGAGGAGGAGGTGGAGGAGGGGAGGAAGAGGAGGAGGAGGAGGAGGAGGAGGAGGGGGAGGAGGAGGGGGGGATCTTGACCCTGGCCTCCATGGCCGTTCGTGATCCGCTGCGCCTGTCCGGCTCATCTGGTTGGTCGTGAGACCAATGTCGGCATTTTCCCGCGTTTGTCTGATTTGCCGAACGCTACGTCACATTGGCTTACATTCGCGCGGCGTCACAAGGGGGAGAAGGAGGAGGAGGGGGAGGAGGGGGGGGAGGAGGAGGAGTGGGAGCCTCTTGGGACACTTGGGGCCTCCATGGATCTTCCTGAGGGCCTCGTGGATGTCTCTCAGGAACTTGCTTGGGCCTCTGGGGGGCCTGTGGAGGCTCCTTGGGGGACTCTTCGACGCGTCTGTCGCCCTCGGAAGCCGTCTTGGGGGCCCCCCCGGGGCGACCCACTCTAAAAGGAGGTTGGGCAAAGGCGAGAGGTAGCGAGCGTTTGTCCGCGGCCGTTTGTCTTCAAGCGGCCAGCCGCCAAGATTCGACTGTGCCTCGCTGCGAGGCGCGCGGTTTGCCATTGGGACCGAACACATTTTCACTTGACGCGGCTCGTCGCTCCCGCGGCTCTTCTCCTGCCCTTGGGACTATCGTTACTACGGTACAGCAGAGTTGGATTTGGGCTTCGCCTTAGGCGAAGCATCTGGTTGGGCTTCCCAACCCGCTTCAAACTTGGTAGCGGAGCTGGATTTTGGAGGTCAGCTCTAGCTCTAGTCCTCGCCGTCCACGGCGCTATCCGGTGGACTACTGACATGCTTTAATCAGGGTGCGATGGTCCTGCGCGGAGGACTATATATTATCCTTTGCGTGCATGTCTTTCCCCATCGGTCTAGAGTTCAGGCCGTCGATGCTAATCGCTTCCGTGGGTTTTTGGGCTCAAGGAATTCGCATCCAGGCAGTGCGAATGGATTTCCTCTGGCCCGCAGCCCAATACGCGTGGCAGGGGGCTCTTGCATATCTCTGGGGCGGCAATTTGCAGCGCTGCCCTGCGATCGCGATCCCGGCGTGCCCGGGGTTCCCTGGCTGCGCGGCCTGCCCGCCGTGCCCAGGCTGCCCGGCGCGCCCGGGAGGACGGCCGGCGCCTGCCAACCCGGCGCCGCCGGTGGAGCAGGAGGCCGGGGCCGACACCGTGCCGTCCTCGTTCTGGCTGGTGGTGCTGGTGAACGAGCTGCTGTTCCTGGGCCTCGTCGCCTGGTACGTGTACGGCTCGTGGGGCGGCGCGTGGCTGGCCTGCAAGCGTCGTCATGATGGCGGGGGCGATCGTGGCCCCAGCAGTGGCAGCAGCGCCGGAGATGCAGCAGTGGGCGTGGGTTCGCTACGACGGCGAGCCATTATGGCACCAGCGGCTGATCTTGGGGCGTCGGGCGAGAGTGCCAGCTGAGGTCGTGTCGCCGTTCGTCGTGCTGATCTGCACCGTGGACACGGACATCTACGAGGAGGACTACACGTGCGACGGCAGCGACATCATCGCCGTGCGCTACGCCGGCACTCGAGCGGCCTTCCCGCCCGGGATTCGGGGTGCGAGCTCACGCCGCTTCAGGCGGGACTCGACGATGCAGGGGCAGCAGCAGATCGACCAGGCGGCCTTGGACTACTGCAGGGCGGCGCTGGCGGCCGATCATCATCGCCTTGGACTGGGGGCGCCGGCGGGGCCCTTCCTCATCCCGTTGACCTGCGGTCAGGGCGGCCCGGCTGCCCCGGCGGAGGCAGGTGAAGGGGTGGCGGTGGTGGCCCCGGGGGCGCAGGCCGCTGCTCTGGTTGCCGCTGGTGGAGGACCTGGCGGTGCCGTCGGAGGGGCGGCCGCGGCCGGAGCGGGTGCTGCTGGCGGAGCCGCCGCTCCTGCGGGGGCGGGCGTAGCCGCTGCCGCCATGTGGGTGCTGGTCGAGTCGACGACTGCTGGCGCGCGCGGGACCGCTGTGGCTCCGCCCGCCGGATCGGTGCTGCGAGGGTCTGTCGGCCTCATGCCGCTGGCCGACGGTTCATAGGTGGCGATCCGCTCGATCTCGGGATCGGCCCAGGAGTACGCCGGGCGAGAGGCCGCGTCGGACGCTCGTCTGATGGGGATCCTGCCGAACCCTGCTGTTCCAGGCGGGAGGCTGCTGCGGCAGTGGCGCGACGCCGTCGCCAGCTTCACCGAGGAGGCGTTCGTGGACTGGCACATCCCCGGTCCGCGGACTGCCCTGCGGCGCTGCAAGTTCATCGACCGTCGGCAGGGGGGGCCGCTGGACCACTTCAGGTTCTGGAAGGCGACCCTCGGGCTGGCGGCCGACGACTACGGCGTGAACGACTACGAGGCCGGGATGCGCGCGATCTACACGATGGCGTGCTGGGACGGCTTGGACCTGCCAAACATCGCGGGCGCCGAGCAGATCCTTCGGAAGTGTCAGATGTACGAGTACGTCTACGTGATGGACCGGGACCCCCACCACGGAGGCCACGGCGCCGGTGACGGCGGCGAGGCGGGCGAGAACAAGAAGACTGGCAAGAAGGGCCGTGGCCGTGGGGGCGGTAGTCACAGCTTGCTGAGCTTCGGGTTCATCGACGAGAGCGCTGTCTTCAACGGTCTCAGCCGAGACCACGGGGAGAGCATGATCTGTCCCCTGCTCCTGGAGCATGTGGCGAAGGAGGTGGAGAGGGACGCTTCGGTGTTGAAGCAAGTACGCAAGGCCCGCGAAGAGCAGCGGGCCTTGCGAAAATGACGGGCGTACTACCACGCGGGCCGCTTCCCCCCGGCGGTCCGCGCGTTTCTGGAGGGGGGCCCAGCGGTGGTGGCCCGCCATTCGCTGGAGATGAGCACTTCAAGGGCATGCCTTGCGGACGCCAACGTGATCTATTTCCACTGCCACGTCCTGATCAACAGCGTCAGGTCCGTTCAGAGGCGAACAGCTTCGCTTGCGCACGTTCTGTGGCCCGTCGTGGTCTTCGACGGGGTCATGCCGATGCTATGGTGAACGAGGTGGTTAATACCCTCAACGAGCTGTACGTCGGCCAGCCCTGTCGCCACGGCGACCACTTGCAGCCTGTCTCTGCGGGTCAGCAGCGGGCCTTGGACAACGTTCGAGATGCTGTCCGACGGTTCGGTAAGCCCCCGGGGGGATTGACTGGCTCAGGAGCCCTTGAGGAGCTCCGAGTTCTCAGCGACTACGCCGGCGAGAGTGCCACGGTCGCTCCGTTCAGCTTTGATAACATCAACAGCCTCTCGCTCCCGGACGAGGGTTTCACGCCGGTGGCGCTGGGCACGCTGGGAGGAGGAGCTGGCCGCAAGATAGTTGAACGGCTTCATGATATGATGCTGTCCCAGTCCGAGGGTCGGGCTCGGATTGAGTCCGACGGTCCTCGGAAGCTTTACATTGACCCGGCGCTCAGGAACCCCAAGCTGTACATCCAGCTGCTGCGGATCCTCGAGCGCCGGAACCTCATGGACTACTACGCTGACAAGGCGTGCAGCGTGGGTGTGTTCTTCGTTTATAAGAAGTCGGGGAAGCTGCGGCTCATCCTGGACGGCAGGCATGCGTCCCTGCACTTCCGGGCCCCCGACAAGGTGGCCCTTGCGTCTGGCGCCAGCTTCGCTGGCCTTCACGTGGACAGCGGGAAGCCCATCGCCGTGGCCGAGGTGGACCTGGCCGACGCCTTCTACACGATGCTGCTGCCGCCGGGGTTCCGACGGTACTTTGCGCTGCCGAGCTGCCGCGCGGGCCTGCTGGGGCTTGACTGCACCTCGGACGGGCGCCCTCTCAGCGGGACGGACCTGGTCTACCCATGCTTCCGGTGCCCGCCGATGGGCTGCTCCTTCAGCCTCTGGATCTGCCAGGCGATGTTGGAGGCGACCGCGCTGCAGGTGCCCCAGCTGACCGTGGCCAACCGCTTCGTGGACAGGCGTCCTGTGCCGGGTGTCACCAGCGACGTGATCCACACCGAGTACGTGGACAACGCGCTGAGCCTCTCGACCGACCCGTCGGTGGCGTCCGCGGCTGCCGCTGCTGTCGACTCTCGGCTCCGGGCGGCTGGCCTACCAACCCGCGGGGTTGAGTGCAGTTTCGGCTCTGCCGCGCTGGGCTGGCAGTTCGACGAGAAGTTCCCGATCATCGGACTGAACCCGGCGCTGCGGTGGAAGCTACGGCTGGCCTGCCTGGAGCTGTGCCGGAAGGGCTTTGCTTCGGGCAAGACGGTCTCGCGCGTGGTCTCACACTTTACATCGAGGGCGCTGATCCGGCGCGAGCTTCTGTCCTGTCTCAATTCGCTGTACGCTTTTTCTGCCCAGTATGGTGGCCGAACTGCTCGGCTCTGGCCTTCTTGCCTGCGCGAGCTCCGCTGGTGCGCCAGTCTGGTCGTGTTCTGCTTCCGAGACGCGGGTGCCGCGTTTGACAGCAGGCTCACGATGGTCGACGCATCGTGGTGGGGCGTGGGGGTCACTCAGAAAACATCGTCGTCAGCTGTTGCGCTGGAGTTATCACGGTACAACGAGAGGTGGAGATTCAGCAAGACTCAGGAGGGTGGCGTCTCACATCGGTCCCTCGCCCTAAAGGCTCAGAGCTCTGGAGACCCCTTCGTGCCCGAGTCGGTCGCAACCTTCGAGAATCCAGGGGGCTTCCAGGAGGTGATCACGGACTTGGAGGAGGATGAGGAGTTCGTCGTGTCGGGCTCCGCGTTCGAGGTGGAGGAGGTGACCCAGGTGGAGAATGAGGAGTTCCCGGAGATCCCAGAGGGCGTCTGGGCGGAGGGGTGGTACCCGGTCGTGTCGCACAGATGGTGTCGTTCGGAACCTCAAGTCGTTCTCGAAGGTCGCGGGATGGTGGTGGCTGTTCGGCATATCCTTCGGCGTCTCTCGTCCTTCAACCGGTGCCATCTGTGCTTGGGCGATTGTTTGGGAACGATCCTGGCTGCCACCAAGGGGCGGTCTTCGCGCCCAGAGATGGGGCGCATCTGCCGGCAGCTGGCGGCCCTTTCGCTGGCTAGCGGCACTGCCTTCTTTTGGCGCTGGGTGCCTTGCGAGCGGAACTCCGCGGACCGCGCCTCCAGGAACCTGCCGGGCGTGGGCTATGCTTCGTCGACAGCAGATACCTGCTGCCCCGGTGCCAGTGGTGCTAGCCACGGCGCCCGTTCCGACGTCGGGCGGCCTCCTGGCGCGAGGCAGCCTGCCTTCGGGCCCCCGCCTGGCCTCGAGCAAGAGGCGAGCTGGGACCCCAGCGGGGCGGACTACTTCCTCGGTAGCGGCTTCGACATTGGGGCTGGCCCTGGCGGCGGAGCCGCTGGGGCGGACGGCCCGTGCGAAGCGTCGGCGGACCAGGCATCCAGAGGGCGTCCACTGGCGGGGGCCCGGACAGCGGTCGTTCCTGGAGCAGAAGGCCGTGAACAACAGGACGACGCTGGACTACCAGGCCCGATACCACCGTTTCCTGACCTGGGCCGAGGCTGCGAGGCTCCCAGTGTCCACCATCCCAGAGCTGGAGGAGACGCTCCTGGAATACTTCAACGAGCTGTACTTCGAGGGCCACGACTCGCCGGACGGGTCGAAGCTGGCGGCCGCCGTGACCCACTTCCGGCTGGACCTGCTGCCGAAGCTGATCAACATGCCGCGCGTGCAGCGGGCGCTGAAGGGCTGGAAGTCCATGGCGCCCCCCCGGGCTCGCCTGCCCCTGCCCTGGCCGGTGGTGGCGTGGATGGCGGACTGGATGGTGACGAACGGGTTCGAGGCGGCGGCGACGGCAACCGTGCTGGCCTTCATCCTCTACCTGCGCCCCTCCGAGCTGCTGTCCCTGCGCGTGATCTCGGTCGTGCGGCCGGTGAAGAGCGGGCCCTGGCACCTGAGCAAGTACTCCATCCTCCTGTTCCCGGCCGAGCTCGAGGCGAGGTCGAAGACAAAGGACTACGACATCAGCCTGCTGCTGGACAACCCAGAGTTCGGCTGGATGGAGCAGGTGCTGGACCGGCTGGTGCTGGGCCGACACCCAGAGCAGCCGCTGTTCGCGCTGGGCATGAAGTCATGGACCCGAGCGTTCAGCCTCGCGTCCGCCGCCCTGGACCTGGAGATCCTGGGCCCCCCGGTGCTATACCAACTGCGCCACGGCGGCGCCAGCCACGAGATGCTAACCAACGCTCGGGAGTTCGGGGACATCAAGAAAAGGGGGCGGTGGGAGTCCGACCGGAGTCTCAAACGTTATGCAAAGGGAGGCCGAGTCCAAGAGCAGCTCCAACGTCTACGACCAGTGCAGCAAGCTCAGGCCCTCGGCTGCGCCGCGACTATTGGCAGCACCCTATGCAGAACTTGAGCTCGTGGGCCCACACCGCCAAGTCGAAGGTGTACCTGGAGATCTTCAGTGGCTCCGGGAACTGGTCGCGTGCCATGCGACACGGCCAGGCCTCTCGGCTGGCCCCACGTGTCTTCGAGCTGGACATGGAGCACGAGCCCGCCCTGGGCGACCTCTCCAGGCGCAGCGTGCAACGTGTTGTTCGGGGTTGGCTTCGTGGGCAGCTGCTCCAGGGTGTGTGGCTGGGTATGCCCTGCAGTTCCTGGTCCATGGCGCGGAATAGGCCCAACGGCCCCCCGGCCCTGCGTGATGGGAACCATCTGCTGGGACTCCCTGGCCTCTCGTCAGGCGACTCGCTCAAGGTGATGCTGGGGAACAGGCTCGCGTGCTTCTCCTTCAGCTTCTTTCTGGAGTGCGCCCTGCGTGGGGTCCCAGCGGCAATCGAGAACCCGGCCACCTCGTGGGTGTGGCAGACCAAGTGGGCGGTACATGCCGCCAAGCAGACCAACGTGAAGGTGATCGACTTTGACTTCTGTGCTTTCGGCACGCAATGGAGAAAACGAACCAGAGTCATGTATGTGCACGTGAACCTAGATGCCCTGAGTAGTTGTAAGTGCAGCGGCCGTGGCTGTTGCTCTTTCTCACAGGCGCCGCGCAAAGCCCTCGAGGGCAAGGCGCCGTCGGGCGCCTTCTGGACAAATATTGCTGAACCATGCCCTCCCAGATTGTCCAGTTTGCTTGCAAAGGCGTACCGTGAGTCTAGGCTCTGTTCCGTGCACCGTGCCTTGATGCGAATGACGGCCTGACGGCCAGGGGGATCTTTTGAAGTGAGATGCTTTGAGGTCGCTGGATTGTCTCTCTGGCGAGGCGTCCCTTTTGGGCGCGTCGAGCAGCTGCGTCTTGGCTGGAGAGTGATCTGCGAACAGACAACGTCGAGAGGCTGGCTTGATAAAGAAGATCGGGTGGGGATATCCTTTGCGTGCATGTCTTTCCCCATCGGTCTAGAGTTCAGGCCGTCGATGTTAATCGCTTCCGTGGTTTTTGGGCTCAACCCAGCCCGCCCACCCTTGAGCCTGTGTATAGATGCTTCCTGTTAGTCGCTCGAGAGGTCGCTGGATTGTCTCTCTGGCGAGGCGTCCCTTTTGGACGCGTCGAGCAGCTGCGTCTTGGCTGGAGAGTGATCTGCGAACAGACAACGTCGAGAGGCTGGCCTGATAAAGAAGATCGGGTGGGGAATATATATATATATATATATATATATATATATATATATGCATGATCGCAAGGACTCTTGCAGTGCTGCCTCTGCCCACGCGGAGGTCTCCTACTTGCTACCTCCCTGCGCTACTAACCAGCTGAAGTCCATTTCTTCGAAGATATGATGCATGGTCACATGCGATGCGACATTGTGCCCCCCCCCCCCCCCTCCCCCGCGCAAGCTGACGGCAACGCCGCCTCGCGAACGACGGCCACATGCAACCGACTACGACCTACGAGGCCATTGGATTGGCATTACTATATTTGGCCTTCTAGGGGTCGCTATCGGACGCGCTGTTGGACATCTGCAGCGTGGCGAAGACGACGCGCGTACTACTACTGGCCCCCATTGGGGCCCTGTCGGTATTGTACCTTTCAGCGAGCTCGTTCGCGAGGTACATGCCTGGTCAACGTGGCCACAAGGCGCTATGACCCCTCCCAACGCGCTGCCGCTCTACAGCGTGGTCTGGGAGGGCTCGCAGGGGCCGTGGGCCGGGCGAGTGCCCCCCCCCCCCCCCCCCCCGCAGTAATCAATTTTGGCGTTAATATTGGTGGTCGCCACGCCGACGGCGCCACCTATATCAGGTTCCTCCTCGGCACTAAGTTCGAAAACATGGAAGCGGAACGCCAACTCAACTTGGGAACCGCTCTCATTGACTTTCGCGCCCATGCAGGAGAACGGATCGACCGGGCGCTTGCCCGTTTCGAGATAGCGCGCTTCGAAGCCGACACCGCGGGCTCAACGTCCCAAATTACCAGATCCTGACAGTTGCATTGTTCAGAGCCCTAGGTGTTGGTACGTCGCGTGCGCAGCAGCTGCTACAGCCATTGAACCACCAAATGCCAAGGACCCAGCGGCAGTTTGACGCCTTACTAGAGTGCATGCGGGTTTTCGCCCGCGTTGCTGAGCGAGCCCCTGGTAACATTGGTGGTGTATTCAGCCATGGTTACTGCGCCGATGTCTGTCATGGCGGCGCTCATGCGGGGCAACCTGCCAGTGGCGTCTGGAATGGCGATCCACAACCGAACGAGGTCACCACTCTATTAAGCCGACAAGGTAGCCAGCCCACGGGGTCGCAGGACTCCTGGGCTCGATATCAGGGCCCGTCGACAACGGCGGCCCCTGCCCGAGCCACTGCCCTCGTGAGCTCGGCCAGGCAAACCGCGGGGTCCGAATTTGATTATGGCACCAGCGCTGGCGCCTCACCAGCCGAGGGAATTTGCAACCTGGAGTAATCCGACGTGCCTGTGCATCTCACTGGGGAGCAGCAGGCGCAGTGGATATTCCGAGGGCGCCAGAAGCGCAAGCGCCGATGGAGACGTTTTAGGAAGAAACCAGTTCGGAAGGTGCGACGTGCAGTCCGACGGGTGTTTAGGTCAGAAGGTAGGGGTAGAGGTGAGGGTATGCGACGGAGACTACGCGGTGGAGGCATGTCGATATCCCGGGCATCCCTCGCGGGACCGCAGCGTGTAGAAATTTCCCCGGGGAAGGGCGGGGGCCGTAGGCGCGCCCCAGGGAAAAGGTGCGGGGCGTCGGGGTAACCAGACAGATGCCAGCGGGAAAACGATGGAACGTGATATCTGCCATAGTACCCGGCTTTTCCGTCGTGAGCGCCCCCCGGGCGATGGGGGAGGCAGGGGTCCGTCGATGCATCTGGCTCAAACCGATTCCGACATGCAGTATGTCGATAGGGGGGGCCCCTCTTGCCGAGCCAGGAGCCGGCCCCGCCGCCGCAGTCCATTCCACGTCCGCGAGGTATCTTAGCGCCGGCGTGTGCCTCGAGAGGTATGCCGACGAGGTCTTCGTGGAAATCTACATTGGCCACGATGAGATCGATCTTGCAGGCTGGCCGGGCATTCCTAACGCGGGGCAACCTGCGCGCGTGGAGTTCATCGAGGACTGCCGCGTGCCCGCCGACTCGGATCGCGAGATGGCGGGGGCACCTGCGTCCTCCGATGGTTGCGAAGCGAACGAATCTGATGATGGTGCGATACAGGCAACGGAGGAGGCTCCAATTGGCGCCCCGACCGCAGGTGATTGGGAACTCCGCGTGCAGGGGAACCTGCGACGACGATCCCCTGCGGGGCAACCCGCGTGACGCTGGCGGCTCTTCTGGGCGTGCTCAATATGAACTCGGACACGATGAAGGCGCTCACTGCACTCTAATATTGCTCGACCGGTCTTCGGGCCTCCCGGTTGGAGGCGCGCGTGTCGCACTGATATCTCCGGTGAAGAATGGGGGGCCGAGAGCCACCCGCCATGCCGCCATCGGCGATGTCATTCGCGTAGGCGCTCGCGCGCCCACTCGAGCGGCGCGCGGCGACCCCGTGCGCGCCATCCGAGAAAATCGCTTTGAAGGGGGCGTGCGCGGGGGAACCCGCATCGGGATGGCGAAAGGTCAGGTGGGCCTGATTGCCCGCGTCGCTTCAGATTTGTCGGCGAAAAGAACGACGGGCGTGCTCGCCAGCGTTTGCCAGCCTACCGCGTGGATTGCTGGCTGGAACAGGGTTGCGCCGAGCACCGAACCCGCCGCTAGTGGTCATGAAATATTGCGATGCGGAATGAACGGCAAAACAATCCGTTTCTACAGAGAGGGCGGTGCCAAGCAGCTTGGAACGTCGGCGAGGAAGGCCGACAAAAGGGCCATCATTGCGGATCGGAAGGAATATCGAGAAGAGATCTGTGGATGCGACTGTTTTGCAGATCGCAGACCGAACTGCCCGATTTGGGCGCCCTTCAAGGAGCCCCAACTTTGAGCTGGCCCCGTGGGTCTGATCCCGCGGGGATGGCCTGGGCCGCGGGGTTGGCCCAACTTGTAGTCCTAGAGAAGCACTTGTGACCTTGGGTGGCTATAAGCCGCTAGATGATCCGCAAGGGCTTCGCCCCCTGCCGCCGGCCCCCTCTCTCGGAGAATGGGCCATGGAAGAGCTAAGTCATGAGGCCTTGGCGCTGTCGCGAAGCAGTGTCGAAACTTCATGCGAAGCCGAGTCGCAATCAGCAAAACCAACTGATCACAAGAGGGGTTACCACACCTGGCGATTGGTAAGACGTGTATGGTTTAAGGGCTTGGTTACCACACCTTGCGATTAAAGGGCCGAGGGAGTTCTCGCAGTTTGGGTTACCACGCCTTGCGATGGATGTGCGTGATGGGTTCGAATTTCAGAAATGTGGCAAATCCCATGTGTTTTTGGACCCTGACCCCGCGGATCTGCGTAAGGGGTGGCACAGAATTTCAGAAATGTGGCAAATCCCATGTGTTTTTGGACCCTGACCCCGCGGATCTGCGTGAGGGGCGGCACCGAATTTCAGAAATGTTGGAAATCCCATGTGTTTTTGGACCCTGATCCCGCGGATCTGCGTAAGGGGTGGCACCGAATTTCAGAAATGTGGTAAATCCGATTTGTTTTTGGACCCTGACCCCGCGGATCTGCGTGAGGGGTGTCGATTTCGAGCCCCCCCCAGCAATTCAGACAACGCGCCCAGGAGACGCTAAAAATCCAGTTTTGCCTCACCCCCCCCCCCTCGCGCGGTCAATCAACTAGTTACAGCAACCAGCAAGAAGTCAACTAGTTACAGCAACCAGCAAGAAGCAGAACTGTAACACTGGAAATTACAAACTACAACTGGTACAGGAAACTGCGAATCACGCGCCTCGCAGCCTGGTGGCCCCACAAGGGGGCCGGCGGATATCCAGGCACAAGTCGTTGAGCAAACGGGAGAAACTCGATAATATTCACCGACTTAAGCGGTGCAGTCGAGGATGCCACGAGGCCGCGCGTGATGCGCGAGCGGCCTCTTCCGCGGGGCAGCCCGCCTCGTCCTCTTGCGAAGGTGCCAGCAAGTCCGCGGCTGACAAAAGGGCGAGGCTTCTGGCATCGCGGAAGCCGTTGGTCCCACTGCGCCTGCGTCAGGATTTGAACGCACGTGAGTCCTCCAGTGGCGCAGCCACTGATCCAGACTTGGACGTCGACGCAACAATCGCGGAGGACATGGTCTTGGAAAAAGGTGCGACAGTGGAAAATTACAACGGCAGCGCTGGATGGATAACTTCTAGGGTGCGTGGTAAGTGGCCCGACGGGCGATGCAAGTTGGATTGCGCAGAGAATGCTACGATTGAAACACTGGCGCTTTACCGACCAGTGCGGAAGCCTTCGTCGGACAGCTCCTAACGCGAGAACGCGGGGGAACCTGCTGCGCCCGCAAGTTCGGGGGGCCGCTGAGAACACAAACGGGCCCCCTTAGCCCCGGAAGCGCTCTGAGAAGAAGTGTTCTGGGGAGGACCTAGACCCGCCCCCGTCATCGCGTGCTCCGAGGTCACCTAGGTCGAAGAAAGAACCGGCTCAGTAGAGGCCGACCCAGGGGGAAATGAGGCGCCGAGATCTGCGGGGAACCTGCTCGGGGGCCAGCCGGGGCGGCCGCGGCGGCG